ATACCACCTAAATTCCATCATTCTCCTAAAAAATACCACTCCGTTAACTCCGTGCGAAATCGATGAAATCAATGGAAAATCGCCGGCCTTTGACGTGCTTCGCCTCGTCGTCTCGGCTTGTTCTTCATCCGCCTGACCTCGTCCAATGGGTTCGTAGAGAAGGCGGCTTCGTTCACCCCAAGCTCAGAATTGCAAACCAAGGGTCCGATGGCTTAGGCAGTTAGGCGTATCCTCCCTCAGCGAAATCCCTGCAGGAGAAGACCTCATCACCCTTCCCAGCCATATCCCGTTGCGATTCCAGCGTTCTGACGAACCTAACGACGAGCGTGATTCTGTCTTGAATCAACTAAGTGGGAAAATTTCAGGTAATGGTTATTGCAGATGTAATGCTTCCTTTTGTCATTTTGCTGGCAATGCATGCATTTTCTTTATGTCAACTGTTAACTGATTTTGTGATCTTATTGGCTTAACTAATGCTCTTATTCCGGAAATGATGACATAAGAAGTTATTTGCAACTTTTGTTCTGAAGCTCACAGTGCAGGAAAGCTTTCGGCATAGTCATGCTCTGAACATTAACGAGGCCGGAGAAGTCCGGAGATGTCCGGAGAAGGAGTTGGAGTGTAGCCAGAGCTCTTCCAAACCAGTCATGCTCTGAACAAACGCGATGCCACAGGAGAGGGAAGCGAGGGAGGAGAGGGAAACGCGATGCCACCAGAGAGGGAAGCGAGGGAGGAGAGGGAAGGAAGATCGCCGGATATCTCATTAAACTGAAGCTCCAGGCGAGTGAGGGCGGTGAGGTTAGCGATGTCTTTGGGGATGGTGCCGGCGAGATTCTGGTTTCCGATCTGGATGGCGACGATGCGACATCGCGTTGCGTTGCGGCGACATACATTGCCGGCGTCAGTTTGCGCCGCCGAAGGCACGAGAATCGTTCGCACAGAGTTAACGGAGTGGTATTTCTAGGAGAGTAATTGAATTTAGGTGGTATGTATGTAAATAGTAATGTTTAGGTGTTAGATAAGTAATTAGGATAGTTTTAAGTGTTATGTATGTAAAAACCCCATTATTGAATTAATTTACTTAATTATTAATATTTTAAATTATATTAATTACTAGGGTTTTTTTTCATCCTTTTTTTCGTCGTCGCGGTTTGGCTTCCTCTGCAGGTGTAAGATTGCACGAGTGGCTTCTTCGGCTCCTTCGTTGTTGTTCGAATTCGCTCCTTTGACGACGTTCCCTTTTCCCTTCGGATCGGAAGTTACGTCATTTTGATCGGAAATAAGGACGGGAGCTCGCTGTGAGGTAACTTTCTCCCTTTCGCGCGCTTCTTCGGGCAAATCCCGTAAATCCGCCGAACTATAGGATTTAGTAAATCCGGCATTTACGGCAAAAAGAGGGAAACGGAGGATTTATTACGCTGCGAGATTTGCGTCGAGCGTAAATTACGTTTGGCAGGATTTACACTAAATCCTGCTCAAATCCGGCGTAAATCCTTTTGCCAAACAGTCCCTGAAAGTTTCTCGCCTCCTTCGTTGGCGACGTTCTCTTCACAGAAGTTCTACGAAGAGAGTGCGCTCGCTGTTTTGCTAAAAGCTTCTTTGCCTACTTCACAAAAGTTCGATCCAATTGAGTTACGCTGGGTTAGGCTAAGTCTTGGTTGGGTTAACTACTTCCTAGGCTAGGACAATGGGTTCTTAGGTTATTTAGGGGCACTTAAGATCCATTGGGTCATGATTTAAATCAAAGTTTAAAATTTTGCAATTAGGTATTGAGGCGTTTTTCATTCGTGAGGTGAGGCATAAGCTTCAAGGAGTTTTGAGGCGTAAGCCTCAAAATCCAATAATTGTATGCAGTGAAAATAAAGTTTAAAAGTAATTTTTTATATTATATAAAAATAATATGTTAAAGAATGACATATTAATTTTTTATTAAACTATGAAGTAACAAATTGATATACATATGAAAAAAAATTGCTCATGATTTAAAGTGACAAGTGATAAATTATGTGAAATAGAATTGAAATCCAAAAACAAAACAACATAAAATATAAGAATCGCATAAAAGTATCATATAACATTAAGTTTAACTTTAAATTTCTTCTTTCTCACTTCCTTACTCATCCACAAGCTATTCTTAAAGAAAACTACAATAGTTTTCAATAACTTGAAAATCATCTGCACGTTCATTAGTGAGGGGTTTTTATTGGAGGCATCATTATAACAAACTGATCTCCCCTCTATCTAATTCTGTGGACTCTAAGCTTCCCAATCTACTTCTCCGTCTTTCATAAATATTTGTCATCAATATAATGATGAGAGTATTGCTCCTAAATTTTTAGAGGATGTGGTGGTGGTGTGTGGCTTTCAAGTGATTCCTGACGATGGCTACGACAGTGGTGGCTGTGGCGAAGGCGGTAGGCTAGAGGTCGAGGTAGTCGGGAGAAAATTGTTGTGGCTCGGGGGTGCATTAGGGCATGATTTGTTTGCGGCTTTAGTTTATGATTTAGGTAAGTTTCAACAAAAATATATATATAAGAAGGGTGAGGCGTACCAACTCATGCTAGTGAGACGAGGTACTTCTCAAGGCGGGCCTCAGCCAAGTTGAGATGCAAGCCTCATAAAAAGATTCGAGGCGTAGGCTCAAGGCATTTTTTTAGTGGAATTACGCAGAGGCCTCAAGACGAGCCTCATATTGCACAATTTTAAACAATGGTTTTAATTTCAATTTGACTCAATTGAGCTACACTGTGCCAATTTGGTTAACCTAGGTCTAACCTAGGTCTAGTCCACCTAAATTTTGGTCCACTAACTACTTAGGTCTTCTATGAGTGAATATGCTCAAGTGTTGAGAGGCCAAGCCAATCTGACCAAAAGTGGCACATTGGGTCCATTTGGATTTAATCTCCCCTAGGCCAAGTCCATTAGATCACTAGGTCCTTTAATGTATAAAAGGGCAAATCATTATGGTCTTAGTTCTTTCTTAGGACAATTGGGTCAAGCTAACCTTGATGGGCCATATTTGGTTTGATAACGGTCAAGTATAGGGCTATTTTAACAAAAGACGAGTCATGTTGAGTTTATAGGGTAACCACGAGTCTAGGGTAGTAAGCTATACCGGGTCATCCTTGTTTTAGTCACCCATGAATCTCTACATTTAATCAAGCTCCTTTAGAAGAACTTCATATTGCTAATTAAAATTTCTTTTAGATATATAATAAATCAGGTTAATGGTGTAATCTTCAATCCACTACGTCAAGGGACATTTGCATGGCTACTAATCATGAAACATAGCAAATGCACACCAGGGCGATGGCTACAACACAATGCAATATTGACTAGTATATCCTCAGCTCCAACTTAGATTGATTAAACTCCTTTAGTTTGCTACATTAGGCAAAATCTCATAATTGGTTTAGCAATGACGAAGTGCAACACTGACAAAAAAGGAGGGAAGGGAGAAAAATAGGCATAGGCTATTGCAATTTAGTGAGATGTTTTGATTATAAATAATGACAAGCATGCATAAAAGAACCCATATAGGTTAATAGAGGTGCCAATAGCTTGGGTTTGGGCTCAAGAGTGGTAATGGGAGTTTGTTCAAGATGAGATGAGCATTGAAAGATGCAAGAGGGATTTGATTGTATGGAGAGAAAACTATAAAGTTTGAAGAAGATATATTTGAAATACCAGCAACTTATTAGGTTTTCAAAGTTTGAATGGCTTTATACTTTTTTTCTAATAAAAGAAAAACTTTTAGTCAAGAAATAAAAAAGATTAGGTTATTTACGTACATATCACATAAAGCATTAAGATTTATGTGTTTACCACATAAATTTAATTGTTTACATACATAACACTCAAAACATCAAAAGAACATTAAAATTAGTACTTCCCGTTACAATCCCATCACCTTGTAACCCTGCTATCGGTCTTGTCCCCCTTCTTTGCTAGTCCTACCACCCTTCACACACCACTCGTCATTGCTAAGCCTTTCTCCCTTATGCTTCCTCTCTATTATCGATCTCCCTCTACCTTTATACTTGTTTTTCTCGTATTTCAACTCTTACCTAAACTTTTGAAGCCCTCATCAATAAAGGGGCAACGAGGTTGCATGAGAACTCACTTATGATGTCACGCCCTAGGATTTAAAGCGAAATAACTTCTGTCTCTTTTTCTCTTTTCAATAATAGCTAATTGTCATTTACAATTAGATTAATTTAACATCCAGAGTTAATTAATCTTATCATAGAAAATATAGACAGTGAGAAACATAAATCACATTAATGTGGTTGTCAATATTTACATTTTGACTCTAGGGTAAAAAATAATATATATAATAGTCTTCATAGGCTACAAAAAAATACACCTAGACAAAAAAAATAAAATTGAAAGGTAATTAAATTAAAATTACTATCTAGCCTTAAGATGTAGGCTCCTTATTTTTAACTGAAACCATGTAAAACCACATAATGACCGTGAAAGCTCAGTAAGTAATTAAAATCTTACAACTGAAATCAATGCATTGAAAAATGAACAGCATGCTTTGAATCATATAAGAGAACTATGTCAATTTATCCTTCTATAGCATATCACATCTCAATACATTACTTCATCACATATAATATCAGTAACAGTCAGCAATATTAATGACAATAAACAATAACAATGTTAGTCACAATATCAGTAATAGTGATCTGTATCAACAACAATAATAGTAATCGATAATAATAAGCGATATTTCATATGAATATTAATATCTATAAAATCAATAGCAATATTAACACCAGTGTTAGTATCAAGCTCCCAATCAATCGTCTCTTATGTTTCCCAGTCCTACATCTATGACTCTCAATCAATCGCCTCTTATGACTCACAATCAATGTTCTCCTTATAACTCACAATTAGTCTCCAACTCCTTATGACTCCCATCAGTGAATCGATGTATCTTGAGTGGTATCTTGTGGGTTATCATATCATATATATTGATATCAATTAGTTTATCCTTTCAGTCAGATCAATATCACAGTTCAACACATATCAGTCTTTTCTATCATTTCAACATATGTTAGATTTCAGTGTTATCATATTAAATCATGATACATAACTTTCAACACATTTTTAATATACATTTTTCATACTCATTTCATAGAAATATTCATGTACACGTTTCTAATTAATGAAAATGCATTAAAATCATGTTATATTGTTCAGAATAATCAAATATCTAATATATCAAAAGTTTGAGATGAAAGCTTATGAAATTAGGAGATTATGTATTTTTGGCAGATTTAGAAGAGTAAAAGGATGATTACTTTCAATGAATATAATATTTTTTTGTAAATGAAATAGAGGACAAATAGGCCCCCGACGGACTTTCTCTTACTTCTATCTCTCCTCTTCTCCCTTTTCTCCTCTTCTACTTTCTTTTTCTTCCCGTCCAAGAAAGAAAGCGAGGGAGTGGCGTGTGGTAAGACAGGGATATTTATATTAAAAAATGTATTAAAACACTGTTACTGGTTTAGCTCATACTTGTTAATTGTGTATATCTTGAACAAACAACAAAAATGACAATTTTCAATTCTACATAAATTTATATCAATAGATATGAGAGGATTTAAGCATAATTTAGCCTAAATCTTGCAAAATAGAAATGTTAAATATGACTACAATTTTTGATATTGAAATTAAAATTATTATTAATTTTTTTAATAAAGAAATATAATTTTTTTAGAAAAAATTATAATTACTTGAAAAATTATATTTAATAAAATGTTTAATTATAAATGAGCCAGTAATACCCTTACATTTAACACCATTAACCCAAACATTGGAAGTAAGGATAAAAAATATTCTATTTTAAAAAAGTTGAGGGAAAAAGTTGATTCCTCGAGTTGGGGTTATTTGTCCCTCACAAAGAGTTGAGGGGTCATTTTGGTTCTTTTCTCAATTTTTTTTTTTAAACTTTTTATAGATCTCCCAATTTTAAAGATTTTGTCAAGGTTTTATTTTTGAGTAGCCATGTTAATTTCAATGTCAGAATCTCAAGCTTCCATTTTACTATTGATAATTTTCAATAGGAAAATCCAACCCAGATTGAGAGGGCGTTGGGAATTTGGATGGATGCAAAAAATGCAAACTTGGAGGAGAGGCTGAAGTCTCTTCTTGTGCAGCTAAGTTCTGAATCTGGAATCATTGAGAGAATCGTTCATAAGAGCAAAAACCAACATAGGGGATCTCTTTACTTCCAAGCCCTGCTCAAGGTAGCCATAAATTATGTTAAGTGTATCCAAAATAAATTTGATTTTTCAACAAGTATTGATTTTTTTTTCCATTTATGCGTTTTTTAATATAAGATGATGCAACCTTCTTTTTATATCTCTGTTTCTTGGATAGAATTTTCATCATATTTATTGTGTAATTCCTAGGTGAGGAGGGATTTAAGGCTTCTGAAGTCAGCAGGGCTTGTCCAGATCTTGAATGCCCTTTTCCCTATCATTAGAGGGAAAAGTCCGGCTGAAAATGCTCATCATTCAAAACTGTATGTTTTTATTTTTTTATTATTTTGGTGTTCGAAATTTGAATTTTTTTCAATGCTTTCCACTAGTAATTTTTTATTATTTTGGTATACTTTCGGGTAAATATAAGCTTAAGAAAGGACTGGAAAAAGGATAAAAAGTGTGCTAATCCAAAGTGTTTAGGCATTCCTTACGGCAGTTGGATTGATAGTGAGTAAAATAAAATGTTTTTCAATTCGTGGTGCATTAGTGGTTGGGTGTATGATTTATATGCTGCTATATTTTGTGGATCACTCAGTTCATATTTGAAACTTTTTTTTTCTCTATTATGTAGTAATAATAAAAGTTACTTCGTTGGAAAGCACACCTACCACAATCGGCTCTTGGGTGTTGCACGTTTATTATCACAGGTATGCTAGCTATTCTGTTGATTAAATTGCTGATGTTTGGTGAGATTTTCTGCTTATAATTTGATTATTCATCTTGGCTTTGCTATGGAGTTGATATTCTCTTTTAATTATTATTCGTTGATGCAATCAAGGCTAGCTATTTCATATATATATATTTTTATTTTTCACTTGTGTTTCTAGCTCTCTTTCTTATGTGACTGTTTGTTTCCTGCTAACGTTCTTTCTAATCTGCAACGATCTTGTGAGTTAAGAGCTTAGTATATTTAATCAAATTAGAATGTTATTTAATGTAATGCAAGGACTCAATTAGAAGAGTCATCAAAACTTCGTATTGTTCAAGCATTTTTTTCTCTTCGTGATAGAAATAAAGGTGGTGTTAGAGATACCATAGGTATTGTGTCCAAAGGCGTTGAAGTGGCACTAGAATAGTGGTGGCAATTGCCTGAGATGTCCGTTCAGCTCCTCACGCCCTTATTCAGGCTGATGGAGTTTTTAGGAGGGCTTTTACCTTGCTGTAGCAATTAAAGCAACGTCATGCTACTAATATTGGGTAGGGAAGGGTTTCATAGGATCAACTTTGACGCCGCTTGCAGGTTATTGATTGCACAAGTAGGGTGAAATAAACATTTAGCTTGTTTTTCTGCGAAAAATTAATTTCAATGACTATAACCTGATTTATGCACTCTTATTTATTTCTCTACTCTTTTTTTTTTCATTTACTTAGACATGCTTGTTGGTTTATTTTCTGTTTTTGCAGATGGTTGAGCCTATTCTGAAAGCAGCGATGTATCCTTTATTTAGATGATGCTTATGACTAAAATCTTAACTTGTAATGCTTATATCACATTTTAATGAGTTTATTTGCTTATATGACGATCAACAACATTTCATATAGATTTTTTTATTTAAATGTATATTAACAGTTAGCATTGATTTGAGTTATTATTCTCAAATTTAATTTGAAACCTATCTTAAAGTCTTCGCAAAATAAGGGAGCATTCTCTAGGTATTATTTTATCTGCAATTTAATCTGCTTTCTTAAAATTTGACCCGGAATATAACTCTAGGCAAAATTTCACATACTAGGAATTCTATATGAACTTGCCATTCTAGTTTGCAATCTCCTTGTTATTTCTACAATGTTGTTTTTGGTGAATTTGATAGCAACTATAGAGCAATTCTATGTTGTTGGTTTTGATACTAGAATATTAGCATTTTTGGTACTTATACTATTGCAGCTAATTTCTTTGCATGATTCCTAGTAATTGTTTGTGATGGTCTTATTTTTATAATATTCATTTTCTACTACTAGATGATTGGTTCTTAGTTAAGTCTAGTTGTATGAATCGCATATTATTTGATCGGTTGCTCTTTTGATATTCTCTTCTTTGCGAATTGCTTTTGAATGTTGTAATTTCATATATATTTGATTAATTCCTAGTATATGAATGGTGACCTGTGACGACCTCTCTTATGCTGTTGCGAATATGAATGGTGATGCTGAGACCTTCTGAGAAGGGCAATTTGTGACCTCTCACCCGCAAACATGAACGAAAATAATGACCTGTGATGCCATAACCTACCTCAACACCATGCAATTGCATCAACAACTTGCAATTGCATCGACAACGATGACTTACATCCTTGTCATGCAATAGGTAGATATGTTTTTTAAAATTTTAAATTATTTTTAATTAATGCCAACAAAATAAAAAAAAGGGTCTCTGAATTCCTAATACATTGGATTAACCTTAATCTTCTGAACACTTTCAACCAAACTGCTCCTAATTCATTTGATCTGTGCCTTCTAACAGTGGCGTCAGCCGTACAGATTATCTTGCGTTTGTCTCAGCTTACTTTGTGTTAGGATGAAACTAATGATGCTGATGTTTCAGCTTCCTTTATGACCGAGATTTAGGCTTCGTTTGTGATGACTTTCTTATGGGTTCTTAAAATGGCTTTTTAGTAAAAAATTAAATTTTTTTTACTAAAAAGTTGCTTAAAGAAGCAGGAAGAAAGCTGTCCCAAACGAAACCTTAGTTTCAACTTGAGCTTGTTTTTCTCATCTTGCCCTTTGGTGTTTTCATGGCATTTTTTACTTGTTTGGCTAAGAGACGCCAGTATTTGATTATAAGCTGCTTCATATTTGAAGTTTACATGGGCGCAGGAGCTTGATTAGGCTAATTACGCTTTTATTCTAATACTATAGTGTTTATTGAGGAATAGTGAGAAATAGTAGTACATAAATTTTCATCATATTCTTTAATTTATTAGATATAATCAGCGTGTTTTTGTGTTTTGCATCTGCTTACATTTCTAGTTCTATACATGGTTTCTTGATCATCCATAGTCAGATATCTCTCTTGCTTGCTAAGTCATTCTTCATGGGATTTTCACTCACAATACTGGCCTGCCTTGGACGTCTTCGAGTTCTTGTTCAACAGGTCAGGTGTTATAGTTCTTCAAATTGAATTCTAGCCATGCAATCTTTCTCTTGAATATATACAGGATTCTGACAAAGATTATTGTGTTGACTAAGTTGATTTTTGTTTTTGTTTTTGCTGCACAATTAGTATTGCATATGCAATTAAAAAAATCACACCCCCCCCCCCCCAAAAAAAAAAAAAAAAAAAAAAAACAAATATTTAAAAAACCGTTGTACTAAAAAAAAAAAAAAAAAACTAGATCCAATTTATCTAAACCAGTGTTGACATATAATAAATATGTTCTTTGTATGAGATGGTTGCTACCTTAATCTTAATTGTCCAGGATATATTTTTGGCGCTGATTATTTGAATTGGAAGTTGAGTTAAAGATTAAGGTTTCGTATGTGATGACTTTCTTTCTGCTTCTTAAAGCAGTTTTCGAGTACAAAAATTATTGTATTAAAAAGCTACTTTAAGAAGTAGAAAGAAAGCCGTCCCAAATGAAGCCTAAATGGCATATTTCTAATGTTTGGCTAATAGGCTTTGTTCGATTTCAGAAAGGGTACTTGTCTTTGAATCTCTTCCATTATCATATTTTTGAAGAATTTAATATAGTTTTTTATTTAATGATCCGAAATAGCTGAGATATTTTCCATATGAATTGTTGATTTCAGGTTATATAGGAAAAAAACAAAAAATAAAAAACTGTTCTGATAATTGTACTTTGAAAATTTGATTGAGAACAGTACGTATGTATGAGCATGTGTAGCAAAAATCTGCCCAGTTCGCATGGATTTCTAAGTTCTTTTTTTTTTTTCTAGTTTTTCTTCAACTGATGGAGGTAAAAAGGAGAATTTATTCCTGCATGAATTAATGACTTGCGAAATGAGCATATACGTGAAAAGGTTGGAGTAGCTCCAGTAGAAGATAAAAGATTAGAGAGAGTCGCCTTTGATGATTTGGCCACATAAAACGACGGCCTTCCGATGACCTGGTTAGGAGAGTAGAGGTATTAGATTTGACTTATGTTAAGGAAGATAGAGGCAGACCTAAAAAGACTTGGTTAGAAAATATTAGGAATGACCTTTCTTTATTAGATTTAAATGAGAATTTGACTTTTAATAGGACACAATGGAGAAAAATGATTCATGTAGCTGACCCCACGTAGTGGGATAAAGGCTTGATGTTGTTGATGAATTAATGACTTTCTTTTGTCTTGTAACAGATATTAATAGACGTTGTTTCTGTATTCAATATGGTTTCAACTCACTCTCAAAAGCACTCCCTGAAACTCTCTAGCGAAGGAATTGAGGTTTGTTATTGTAAAGTAACTAATCTGTTCAATTTTCATTTTCTTCAGTGTAGGATTTGCAGTGGGTTTTGTGCTTAAGAACTTATGTAGGCTATAATGCACTTGATTTTCTGTTATTAACCAAAGGCTCTCTTATTGTAGGCTTTTGTGGATTATTATTCTTCAAGTGGTGATATTCTGACACTTGAATGCATCTGGGAAGATGACAAATATGTGTTGCATGAAAGCACACAATGTGACAACAACAAGATCCCAGATCAGGGAGCTTTTCCTTTGGAAACTCAGTATCAAACTTTACAACTTTTGGGTGAAGGTAAGTATTTTATCAATGGAGCTTTACATACATTTCATTGAATTTTTATGTATTTACAATTTTACATATCTAATATCTAAATCTGTTATTCAGTTATTTACGATTCTAATCTCTTATCACTTTATGTAAATTGAAAAAATCTTTTCATTCTTATATTTTGATGTCATTTGGACAATCGGGTGTTATAAATGTAAATATAAAATTTAGATGTTAGATATATAAGTAAATAAAGACCTCAATTGTGTGCATGTAAATGTCGGTAATGTACTAAATACTTTGGTGATTAGATTGTTCTTAAGGCAGCTAATTATGGCTTCGTTTGGGACGGTTTTTTTATTGCTTCTTAAAGCTGCTTTCTAGTACAAAAATTAAAATTTTTGTACTAAAAATCGGCTTCAAAAAGCAATAAAAAAGCCGTCTCAAACGAAGCCAATGCTTTCTCATTTCACTTCCAACACATTGCCTGCACCTTACAGAACTGTGCCATGTTTCAGATTCATGTAATGAGCAAGAAGAAAAATCACTCAACTCGCAACCTCATACCAATTCATCCTTGGATGAATCAACACACACTGGAAGAAGCATAGAGAGTATAGATTTCAAAATGTCTCCTGTCACAGAGCCTGCTTGTGAACCAAGTCCTGGCAAAGAATTGCTTACAAATTTGATGAGAACTCAAAGTAAATCAAGGAAGACAGTAGCGTTTGTTTCTGTTCAAGTTTCTAAAACTTCTGAAATGGAGTCAAGCGAACCAGAGAAGAAGAAGATGAGATTGGATTTGGCTTCTGTGGGAAATGCTGATGCTTCTACTGCTGCTGGTTCTCCATTTCCAGGTTTTTCTCTTTAGCGAAGCCCATAATAGATCTTTATTCTGATATAAAGTTGATTAGCTATATACCATTCTATTCTATAAGTTTATAGCCATTTGAGCTCCAATTTATAAATAATATAGGTATCCATGGACTTGATGTGACATGTAGATTTGTAACATTGTCATCACATTAAAACTTATTCGGCCAAAATTGCTTTGAGGTGAGTACATTATACCAAATTTTTTACCAAATCAGAAGTTTTACCATTTTCTACCTTTAGTACCAAATAATGACATGAACATATCTAAGTAAAATACAAGAAAATTTTATTTTAATAGATGAACAATAGATATGAATGTAATATTTCTATTGATGGATGGGGAGCAAACAATTCCTTTATTGCAATCAAACTTGAAGCTCATGAAAAAATGAGCATAATTTAAGTAATTAAATGGATCAAATTGTTACACATTTGAAAAAAAAAAACAAGAAATTAATTGGAATCTAGTGATGGTTGAAGAGAGGGATAGTCGGTATACCCAACAATAGGATCAGGGGTGTAGAATGTAGACCTATCATACTTATTAAGAGGAGCATTGAGCTCAAATCTTCTTGGAAGATCGGGGTTGGCCAAGAAAAGTCTCCCATATGCTACCAAATCTGTATAACCTTCTTCCACCACCTTATTGCCTTCCTCTCGATCATAGCCACTTGCGGTGATGAAAGTTCCCTGAAACACCCTCCGCATCTCATGGAGTCGATGAGGGAGCTCTAATTTTCCCTCATTGAAAGTCATTCGAGGCTCAGTTATGTGACAGTAGAGGAGGTTATATTTATTTAGGGATTGCACCATGTGAACCCCAAGAGCATCTGGGTTAGAATCTTCACACTCCATTAGGTCTGAAAAGGGAGAGAGCCGGATGCCTACCCGGCCTGCCCCAATCTCATCCACCAATTTCTCAACAATCTCCAAGATGAAGCGGCAACGGTTTTCCATGCTACCCCCATACTCATCTGTTCGATCATTTGCACCATCTTTGAGAAACTGCTCCAGCAAATATCCATGCGCCGCATGTATCTCCACACCATCAAACCCTGCTTCAATGGCATTTCGTGCAGCAACTCTGAAGTCATTAACGATATGTGGGATTTCATCAGTTCTTAGCCTTCGAGGCGTCGAGTATTCTTCAATTGTACCATCAAGATGAATTTGTGGATGAATAGGCTTGTCTGTGCTTGAGATTGGAGCCTGTCCATTTCGTTGGTAGACTGCACATATAATATCAAAAATTAATAAACCTAAAACCCTACGAAACTACAAAAAATTAAATATAATTACCATGATTAGAGACCCTTCCAACATGCGCAAGCTGACAGATAAAAACTCCTCCCTTCTCATGAACTGCACTGACAATAGGCTTCCATGCCTCCACCTGCTCTTTAGTCCATATGCCTGGAGTTCTTGGATACCTATTTTTAAATTTTATAAAACATTTTAATATATAAATATTACTTTAATTAATAATTAATTAATGATTAATTATAATTAGTGATTTAATTAGTGATTACCCTTGAGCAGTATCAGAAACCCCAGTGGCTTCTGATATAAGAAGACCTCCTCTTGTTGTTCTCTGTGAGTAAAATAGTTATTTCTATTATATGTAAGTGAAATGAAATAATATTATTTTGATTTGCTCTTAATTTTAAAAATAATGAAGATATTTCTTATAATTAAGAAAATATAGTAATTAATATTGCTAATTATTGATTGATTATTTGCTATATGAATTATTAATTAAAATTTAGGTTATAATAATTTCAAATTAAATAATATTATTTTCAGATTAATTATGATAAAAATTAATTAGAATGCCTTGCCCATTTTAATTTCAAAAATAAAAAAAAATAACTAAAAAAACACAAATTAAATATATATTTAAAAACAAAAATGAAAAATAAGAACAAAATATGATCCTAAATGATCTCTAAATAAACATATGGATCTATTTCATAAAGAAGAACATAATTAAACACTCTTAAGGAGTTTATATGAGCTATTTAAGCTAATTAATGATGATTAAGGGTGCTTAATTACCTGTGCGATAGATTAAAGGCGCCCATCTTGTGAGGTTTGAGTAGAGGGATTTTGTGAGCTTCCATTTCTCTCTCAATCTATTAATCTTAATGGAGAATATTATATTCTTAATGAGCTTCAGATCTCCAATTTGAATTTATAGTTTTTGAGATGAAAGGGAAGGCTTCAATCATAATAAACATGCAATGAATGTGGTCATCAAATGACTTTTAATTTCTACGTATAAAAGTCAAACTAAATAATTGACCAAAATGTGGTGTTCTTATTCAATAATTCATAAGAGGAGGCTTAAGAAAAAGCGCCTCATATATGAGATTAGACTAAAGTTTCATTTAGGTTGACTTTCTTCGTGTTTTCTAAAGCAGTTTTTTAGTATAAATTATTTAAACTAAAGAAATTTGTACTAAAAAGCTGCTTTAGAAAGAAGTAAAAAAGTCATTCCAAACGAATCCTAAGCCTTCGTTTGGGACTTTTTTCTTGCTGCTTTATAAAGCAGTTTTTTAGTACAAAATATTTTAAACTAGAAATTTTCGTATTAGAAATCAACAAGAAAGCCATCCCAAATGAAGCCTAAGATAAATACGAGTAGGATTTATGATACGATTAACTAAGAGAAATTTCTTTGGTAGTACTTAACACTTAAAGTTGAAAAAAAAAATTCTATTTGTTGTTTTATTTTTATTTAAATAGATAAAAATTATAATATATTTAAATTTAATAATTTAATATGATTCAAATTATATTATAGATTAACTTTGCAATTATATTATTTTCGTCTTTGATAGTCCAATTGACCTTTTTCATGGCGTCAGCTCAAATGTCATCATAAAGCTTTTAGAAAGAACAAATTGAATGAGAATTTGGTAAAAGAAATTATTATATCAAAGGTTGAATATAGGAAAAAGTTGATTGATAAATTTATATTAAGATGGTATTTAGCTCTTTTGTATGAAAAAATTAAATATGATTACATAAAATAAAATTTTTATGTGATGAATGAATTTTTCAAAAATCTTTTGCGTAGAGAGGGTAGGGTTTGGTCTTTTCCTCTTAGCTTTAAGATTTTAGGCATAATAGTTCATATACCCTCAAAAATTTATCTTGATCAGGCACGAATCTCGTCGCAAAATCAAGTTGAAAACTTCTGAAATTAAATTTGGATCCATATGAACAACGATTCCAGCGAACTTAAAATTGAACTGAATGTATTGAAAAGACGAAACCAATGAAAGCACATTTGACTTGATCACACCCTTATTTATTTGAGCCTAAATAGCTGAAGCATCTGTAATATTTATATTTATTATCAATTTAGCACTCTTTTATTGCCCTGCACGAGTGTGATCGCCTACAGAAAACTCAGTGAGCAACCAAATTTATCATAACCTAGAATAAACTATCTCCCATCACATCAATTTATAAATTATAGTTAATGTAATTAAACACTCACCTCAATCAATTTTCGGTAATACATAAATCCTTAATTAGGGCACCCATTGTAAAGTGAGATTGCTTAACTAATCATACTGGATGATTCAAGATCGTACATGACAATCAGTTATAGACATGAAAAATACCTGCCAATCATAATTTAGGCAATATTTTGAATATCAAATTTTTATTCTAATCGTGCAGGTTGATATAAACCATACTGGACAATTTATGGCAATCATGTCTAAATTGATCCTATGATTAGAGCAATAATTATGGTTAGATTGCTCGATCATATCGTCCAAAATAATCAACAACGATCGTACTAGACGATATTTGATATTTCATGGGACGATCCTGCATCGTCTAAGATGAATACTACAATTTGCTTCTAATCATACATGCGATCATACTGGACATCCCGAGGGATGTGCAGGACGATATTTAAATTTCCACTCATCATCCCATAATGTATTAGATGATCAATACATTATCTTGAACTAATCATCCCGGATGATCACAAAATCATATTTGATGATATGTATAAATACTTGAACTGATCGTACAGGCAAATCTAATCGTACTAGCTGAAAGGGTTATTTTGTTCTAATCGTTCAGGACGATCTAATGATCATAATGGACGATCAGAAGCGCATAATTAAAAATTAGGGCTTCTTTTGGAGGCTCTCTATTTAAGCTCTCATATTATCCTTAACATATATTTTTTGTCATGGAGTTGATTTTAGAGGGAGCTTATATTAGAGAGAGAGAGAGAGATTGGGAGAGAGAGAGAGAGAGAGAGAGAGAGAGCCTTGTGAAGGATTCACAAAAGTTGCTCCAAGTAAGGTTTCCACCATCTTCTTCAAGCTGCTTTATTGATCCCTTGATGTCACTAGGGAAGATCATCATCATCATTAGATCCAGGCTCTCTGCATTCACCAAGAGGGTGAAAAATGATTTAAAGGTTCTCTATCTACTTCAGGAGAGAGTAAAAGGATTTCAAGGTTCTCTGCTTACTCTAGGAGGGAGTAAAAGGATTTTAGATTCTTTGCCTACTCCAAGAGGGAGTAAAAGGATTCAAGGCACTATGCCTCATTGGATCGGTGGAACGATTTTGTAATGACTTCTCTGCCTTACTGTGTGGGAAAAATGAGAGACACTACTTTTAATGTAATACCTAGAAAGGAGGTTTCAAAGGAGTGGATGTAGGTCAAGTTGATTGAACCACCATAAATATGGTGTGTTATTTCTATTTTCTTTTATGCAGTTAATTTTCACATTATTCTATGATTTCTTTTATGGTCGAAACCTCTAATTTGTGTTATTATCAAATTAATGTTGCTTCACATAAATTATTAATTTTAAAATATTCAAAAATATTCCAAAAAGAATTCTTTTTTTTTTCCATAAGAAATTTTTTAAATAACCAATTCACCCCCTTCTTGATTAGCCTCAGGCTTGTTCATAAATGTTTAATAACTCTCACAAACTTTCAGGAGGTGTTGGTTGAGTTTAATCAGACTTAGGTTGAGAAATGGCTTAACCAATAATGGTTTTGACCACTTTGGGTTAGCCTAATTCCTGACCCAAGTTGACCCAAGGGGTGGGTTAACCAAGGGTTTGTGCATTGGGTCAAGGGAGACTCAATGCCACCATTGGCTTGATCCAAGTGGGCTAGGGTTGGAATTTGGCTCAAGGGAGATCTCTCTTAGGGCACTTCGGTCAAGCAAAATGGCTAACCCAAGTGGACCCAAGGCTTGGATCCACCCAAGGGTCATCCCTAAGGGTCCAATAGGTGGTCCTAGGGTTTTAGATTAGCTTGGGAAAGCCTTGGTCAAAGGGTTTGAATGGATAGAAGTGTATGGGAGGTTTGATCAAATTTGGTTCACCTAAGGTCAAGAGTTCGGTCCATTGAGTTCAAATTGACTCAATGGAGAAGTGGTTTCAAATAAAAGGAGGTTATTTGATTTGAAATGAGTGTTTAAACCCTTAAGGGCCACTTTGGTCAACTAGGTCAAACTCAAGTATGGGTTTAGATTCATGTGTTCCTAATGATATTTAGGATCCATTGTGATAGGTTTTGAAGATTGATATGGGAAGACATGTTGAATTTTTGGGGAAAAAACCAAAAAACCCTTTAAAGAATATTTTGGTCATTTTGACCCCCTGGTCAACCTTAGGTCAAACTGGGTCCAGTAAAATATATGTTACTGACCAACAAGTCATGACAAAGGTCATGGGTGTGATTAGAAGGTTTGGAAAGAATAACAAGGTCTAATTCCACTGAATGACAAGTCTAGTGAAACGGGTTGTAAACATTTGAAGGTTTTGCAGCTTTTATAAATTAATCCAGTTTCTAGGGCTAGGGACCTCAGAATGGGCTCAAATTTGGTTAGTTGGTCTTAGAGACATATCTAATCAATATGCAATTAATAAACCTCAAATCAGAGGTTACTTGACCGGTTTTCTAGAAGATAAAAAATTCACCTATAAAGGGTTTCAAGACTTAGGCTTTTGACCTTGGATTTGGAATTAGGAATTTTGGATTTGAGATGCATTTTGGACTTGATTGATTGGATTGGATTTTTCATATCAATCTCAATCCTATGAATGGTTGATATTGATTGAATATGATTAGAATTTGATTGAAAATTGATCTAGTACATGGAATTGAAAATTAAATTGGATTTTAGATTGGATTTGATCATGGATCAAGATTGGATTTTGGATGGGATCTATATGACTGACCTTAGATCACCGAAGGGAGATTTGGATTGAACTTGATGACCTCATACAAAAAAGAGGTCAACATCATCAACAACGTTGAGTACATAAAGAGTACATCTAATAAGATAAGGCTTATAGTTAGGTGTGCCCACCACGATAACCCGTCCAGTCCTTGCTTATGGCGTCTGCACATTGCAAAAATTAAGAAACTTGGTGGTATATGGGAAGTCTCGTATAGTGGTTCTCCACATACTTGTATGACTCATATCATGTCAAGTGGCAAAAAAATAAAAAAAAATAAAAAAATAAAATAATAATAATAATAATAATAAATATCATGTCAAGTGGCCATCATAATTGTAACTCCAAGTTTATTTATTACTACATCACTTTTATTCTTTGTAAGCAAATAGATTTGAAGCCATGTGAGATCATTGCTCAGATGGAGTCAAAGTTCGATATTAAGATTCCTTATATTAAGGCTTGGGAAGCATGGAGGAAGGCTATCAAATCAGTATTTAATAGTTTTAAGGAATCGTACTGCTCACTACATTGTTATATGGAAGTAATTAAATTTGCACTTCCAGGATCAATTTACTATATGGAACTTATTGGGAATAATTGTTTCAAATCACTATTATGGGCATTTGGTCCATCAATTAAGAGATGTAAATTCTGTAGCTTGATGCTTAGCTTGGACGGGGCATTTCTTTTGGGTAAATATAAAGGTACTCTACTTGCCACTATGGGAATTGATGGGAATGGTGGACTAAACTCCCTTAAATTTGCTATCTTAGAGGCCAAGGCTAATGAGTCTTGGTCATGGCTCTTGAAGATGGTCCACGACCTCATTTCATACATTCGAGCTCGATAATACAACTTCTTTGTATCTAATAAGCACCCCGAAATTGTTCACGGATGTCAGGAAGTCTTTCTACATGCAACACATCGTCATTGCTTACGACATCTTCGAAATAATTTCAAAAAATTTCATTCGATTCGGGCTTCTACTCTAGGGTATCATCAGTGGAATGCATCAAACATTTCTTCAATCGATTGCTACCCTCCACAATCAATTTCTTCAAATGTATTGTTGGAGTCCTATCCATCATAGATGAAGAAATAAGAAGTAGAAGAAGATTTGCAAAGGAACTTGAGCTTGCAGGATACAGATCTCGTTCATCCAAATAACCAATACATGCTCAATTTATAAAAAAAAAGGCCATAGATTTCATTAATTTCAGTCGGTAAAAAATTAAATCAGTAGATTGATTTGTCCATACAAACTAATCTGATAAAACTTAGTACAAATTATTCACAAATAAATGTATAATTATTTTATTTTAACTAAATAAAAAAGCCAAATTTATAAATAATATACTATTAAAATTTGTCAAAAAACTTAATACTCTTATAGTAAACTAAAATAATAATTATTAATTTAAATCTTAAGTTAAACATTTATTAATGACTAATTCTCTTAAATTAATCTTATTAATAATGAAATGGTAAATAAAAAATTTTATACTCACTAAACAAAAATTGTTTATATATAAAAATTATTGGGATGAACGAGATCAATTATTATTATTTTGTTTTATAAGGTAAAATAACATTAAAAAAATAAGTGAGATGATATTGTTAATCAAATTTAAATACCGTTAAATAATAATTTATGAGTAAACAAACAAAAAAATTCATGGAATAGAGACCGGAGAATTAAAATCCGGTTCTACGAAAACCGGAAAATAAAGTTTCGGTTTCTACTGAAATAAGAGAAAGAAGTTCCGGTTTTAATATAATCAAATAAATAATTAAGCTAAGATTTCTACAAAATCGGATAATTAATTCCCAATTTTATGAGAATTTCGAATACGGGCTTCTGTTCTCTATATTTGTTCTTTTTTAAATTTTTCCGTAACATGCTCCTTAATCTAATTTAAGTTTAAAACATGTTCTTTCTACAAATGAACCATTTTTTACCAAATCAACTATGAAGTTTTACCATTCCCAACTTTTAGTACCAAATAATTCAGCACAAGAAGTAAGTTGACTATAACAATGGCATGAAAATATCTAAGTAAAATACAAGGAAATTTTATTTTAATAGATAAACAATATACATGACTACAATTCCTTTATTGCAATGAAACTTAAGCTCATGAATAATGAGCATAATTTAAGTAATTAAATGGATCAAATTGTCACACATTTGGAAAAAATAGAAAAATTAATTGGAATCTTGTGATGGTTGAAGGAAGGGATAGTCGGTATACCCAACAATAGGATCAGGGGTGTAGAATGTAGCCCTATCGTACTTATTAAGAGGAGCATCGAGCTCAAATCTTCTTGGAAGATCAGGGTTGGCCAAGAAAAGTCTCCCATATGCTACCAAATCTGTATAACCTTCTACCACCACCTTATTGCCTTCCTCCCGATCATAGCCACTAGCGGTGATGAAAGTTCCTTGAAACACCCTCCGCATCTCATGGAGGCGATGAGGGAGCTCTAATTTCCCCTCATTGAAAGTCATTCGAGGCTCCGTTATGTGACAGTAGAGGAGGCTATATTTATTTAGCGATCGCACCATATGAATCCCAAGAGCATCTGGGTTAGAATCTCCACACTCCATTAGGGTTGAAAAGGGTGAGAGCCGGATGCCGACCCGACCTGGCCCAATCTCATCCACCACTTTCTCAACAATCTCCAAGACGAAGCGACAACGATTTTCCAAGCTACCGCCATACTCATCTGTTCGATCATTTGCACCATCTTTGAGAAATTGCTCCAGCAAATATCCGTGCGCTGCATGTATCTCCACACCATCAAATCCTGCTTCAATGGCATTTCTTGCGGCGACTCTGAAGTCGTTAACGATAAGTGGGATTTCGTCGGTTCTTAGCCTTCGAGGCGTCGAGTATTCTTCAACTGTACCGTCATGATGAATCTGTGGACGAATAGGCTTGTCTGTGCTTGAGATTGGAGCCTGTCCATTTGGTTGGTAGACTGCACATATAATATATATAATTAATTAACCTAAAACTATAGAAAATAATAAAAAGAAAAAAAAATAAATTAAATATAATTACCATGACTAGAGACCCTTCCAACATGCCAAAGCTGACAGATAAAAACTCCTCCTTTATCATGAACTGCTTTGACAATAGGCTTCCATGCCTCCACCTGCTCTTTAGTCCATATGCCCGGAGTTCTTGGATACCTATTTTTATAAATTTTTAATATAAATATAGCTTTAATTACTAATTAATTAATAATTAATTATAATTAGTGATATAATTAGTGATTACCCTTGAGCAGTATCAGAAACTCCAGTGGCTTCTGATATAAGAAGGCCTCCTCTTGTTGTTCTCTGTGAGTAAAATAGTATGGCATGAGGCTGTGGAATGTTGCCAAATGATCTTGATCTTGTCAAAGGTGCCAAGACTATCCTGAAAATTTTTAAAAAAAAGGTCAAAATTTTAGTAATTAATATTGCTAATTACTAATTAATTAAATGCTTTCAAAAATTAATTAGTTCTTAATTATTGAATTTATTTTGATTAGGATAGACTTAATTGGACTCTTAAATGTAATGAAATAAAATTATTTTGATTTGCGCATAATTTTAAAAATAAAGAAGATATTTATTATAATTAAGAAAAAATAGTAATTATATTGCTAATTACTGATTGATTATATGCTACATGAACAATTCATTAAAATTTAGGTTATAATATTTTCAAATTAAATAAAATAATTTTGAGATTAATTATGATAAAAATTAATTAAAATGTCTCGACTTAGTTTGTCTTTTTAATTTGTGAAGATATTTTTTATAAAGTTTGTCAAAATAATAAAAGAAAAATTGATAATTTTATCATTTTGAAGATCTTCAAGATGAAAATTTGGTCATGATATTTTGACCCAATTTTTTTTTTCAAAAATAAAAATAACTAAAATACACAAATTAAATATATATTAAAAAAATAAAAATAAGAACAAAAAATGAACCTAAATGATCTCTAAATAAGCATATGGATCAAAAAATATGATCCATTTCTTAAAAAAAAGAGCATAATTAAACACTCTTAAGGAGTTTATATGAGAAAATATAGTAATTAATATTGCTAATTATTGATTGATTATTTGCTATATGAATTATTAATTAAAATTTAGGTTATAATAATTTCAAATTAAATAATATTATTTTGAGATAAATTATGATAAAAATTAATTAGAATGCCTTGCCCATTTTTTTTTCAAAATAAAAATAAAAATAACTAAAAAAACACAAATTAAATATATATTTAAAAACAAAAATGAAAAATAAGAACAAAAAATGATCCTAAATGATCTCTAAATAAACATATGTGATCCATTTCATAAAAAGAACATAATTAAACACTCTTAAGGAGTTTATATGAGCTAATGAAGCTAATTAATGAAAATTAAGGGTGCTTAATTACCTGTGAGATAGATCAAAGGAGCCCATCTTGTGAGGTTTGAGTAGAGGGATTTTATGAGCTTCCATTTTTCTCTCAATCTATTAATCTTAATGGAGAATATATATTCTTAAGGAGCTTCAGATCTCCCAACTTGAATTTATACTTTTTGAGATGAAAGGGAAGGCTTCAATCATAATAAACATGCAATGAATGTGGTCATCAAATGACTTTTAATTTCTATATATCAAAGTCAAACTAAATAATTGACCAAAATATGATTTTTTAAAATAATTTTTTAGTAAAAAATAAATCCTAAATTAAAAAAAATTTGTAGTAAAAAGCTGCTTCAAAAAGCAGTAAGAAAGTCGTAATTTCTTTCTTGCTGTTTTCTAAAGCAGCTTTTTAGCACAAAATATTTTTTCCTCTTAGCTTTAAGATTTTAGGCATATATAATTTAACAAAAAAAAATCAAAATAGTCCCCAGCCTATTTTTTTATTAGATTTTAGATTTGTACAGTCAATTTAGGTTTCGTTTGGGATAATTTTTTTGTTGCTTCTTAAAGCAGCTTTATAGTATAAAAATTTTAATTTTTGTACTAAAAAGTTGCTTTAAGACGCAAAACAAAAGCCGTTCCAAACGAGAGCAATTATTACGTCAGGTCACCGGACGCGTCCAGAGACCAATAATCACGCGCCACGTCACCTGAAATTCGGTATTGCTCGGTATACATCCGAATTTCCGATTTTTTGCCCGAACGTAATAATTACTCCCCAAACGAAGGAACAATTATTACGTTCTCTGATCGGACGTAGAGCTACGTTCGGCCGCAATTAACATGTCGCCACGTGCTCTTACTCTTTACCGCGCGGCCCGACAACTTGACCCGTAGCGGAACCCGGGAATGCTATGTTCGCAATTTTCTCGGTATTGATAGGTATTTGCTCGGTATTGCTTTGCAAAAATGAGAAATACCGCTCTGTGAAGACCAAAATCATGCAAATACCGAGTTGTACCGAGTTTTTCTACAACTCGGTACAACTTGTTATTTGCTCAGGATTTGCTCGGTATTGCTAGGGATTTGCTCGGTATTGCTAGGTATTTGCTCGGTATTGCTAGAAAAAACTCTGTACAACTTAGTATTTGCTCAGGATTTGCTCGGTATTGCTATGGATTTGCTCAGTATTGCTAGGTATTTGCTCGGTATTGCTAGAAAAAACTAGGTACAACTCGGTATTTGCTCGGTATTGCTAGTTTTTGTTGCTTCTTAAAGCAGCTTTATAATATAAAAATTTTAATTTTTTAACTAAAAAATTGTTTTAAGAAGCAAAAGAAAAGCAGTCCCAAACGAGAGCAATTATTTCGTCATGTCACCAGACACGTCCAGAGACCAATAATCACGCGCCACGTCACCTGGAACTCGGTATTGCTCGGTATACGTCCGGATTTCCGATTTTTTGTCCGGACGTAATAATTACTCCCCAAACGAAGCCTTAATCCCAGAGTATCAAGTTGGCCCAATTTAGTCCATTGATATACATAATTGATAAAAATAGTCCATTATATTATAATTGTGATTTAAAATTAATCTGAATTTAGTCTCTCGACTTACAAAATTCATCCTAATTTAGTTGAGAGGCTAAATTGGAGCAACATTAAACTTTGGGACTAAAATTATCATATATGAATATTTGGGGACTAATTTGAAAATTAACCCTACAGTTTAATAGAAATTAAATTTCTATGTGAAAAAAAATGTAGGACAAAATTTATAAGATCGACTTGAGTTTTAAACTCCCTGAAGATTTATATGATCGCTCCTCTATGAAACCTTAAGACATATAGTAGCATTTTTTAATGTAACACCTATAGCTACCTCATGAATTCTCTATGACAATGATGCATTGTCCTAACCAACAATCATTTAATAATTTTTTTAAAAAATATTTAGATAAAAATTTTTAAAATTTTTTCTAAAGAATTTATAGATTAAGAGTAGATGTGTCAAATCGGGTTGCAGGTCAGGTTCATGTTTAACTCAATATTGATCCGCTATTGTTTGACATGACCCGAACCTGCCCCTTTTTTTTGTATCGGGTCAGAAATTTCAACCTGGGCCCGACCTGCACGAGTTACCAGGTTGACCTGCTAACCCATAACACTGTGGGCACGAGCGAGTTCAGCTGACGTCGGTGGTGTAAGAGCCGAAACTCTTAACTATGGAGACATTTTCCACTTTGGCCTAAGGGTCTCACGGTTTTGTCATGTTGGTATAACTTTTCAAGAGGTCACCCATCCGAAAATTTCTCTGAAATGATCATGCTTAACTGCGTAATTTCTTAAGGAAATTTCAAACATTACACCAAAAGATGCCTCGATGTTTAAGAGTTTAGCTTCTTTTACTAAAGGGGTTTCGTAATCTTCTCCACTTAATTAACTAACGTCCTCGTCAGTATCCTTATCCCATAATCATCCACTAAAAATATATGATTTTAGAAGTGACATCTGTAAGTTCAAGTGATGACTCCCATAATGTAACACTTTTTATGATACAAAGTTCAAGAGGTGGCTAACATGACGTAGCACTTTATATTGTATGACACTTAGTTCCCATCTTTTGACTGGTATATTGCTCTGATACCATTTGTAACAATCCAAGCTCATAATTATTGAGATATTATTCGCTTTGGCTTAAGGACCTCTCGATTTTGTTATGTTGATGTAACTTCTCGAAAGGTCACCCATTCTAAGATTTCTCAGGAATAAGCACACTTAACTACAAAGTTTCTTAAGAAAATTCAAACCATGACACCAAAAAGTGCCTCGATGTTTAAGAGTTTAGCATTGGAGGCAGATGTCTGCAGTGAGAGTGTTATAGGGGATAATCATGGTATTGGCTTTGTGGGAGACACTTGCAGTGAAAGATTTGAGATATTAGGGGTGTCAATTCGGGTTAACGGGTCGGGTTCGGGTCGAACCCGAAACTGACCCGGCACTATTCGGGTCAACCCGCACCCGACCCGTTTTAAAAAAGGGGTCAGGTTTCTGGACCTGAACCCGACCCGATTCGGGTCCGGGTCAACACGAACCGACACGAATGACTCGGGGTTGACCCAAAATTGTTAGTTTTCGGGTCAAAAATGGGTCAATCTCGGATTTTCGAGTCAAAAATGAGTTTTCGTGTCACTTTTGGGTCAATTTCGGGTTGCTGGGTCAACCCGAACCCGACCACCTGATTTTTAAAACGGGTTGATTTGTTGAACCCGAACCCGAACCCGACCCGTTTCGGGTTTGGGTTGACTCGAACCCGGATTTTTCCTGGTCGGGTTCGAGTCATGTCAAAAATTGACACCCCTATGAGAGATGATTGGTTGAAATTCATAAATATGATTATAATGTCATAAAGGAGATGATTGTAATTCGAATATAGAGCACTGTGATTGTAATGGAGGTATTAAGAGAGATGGATATGAAAAATGAATTGTGAAGGTGATAACAATGTAGATCTATGAGCAATAGTAGTTTTAATGTAAAGGAAGGTTGTTGCATAGGTTTTTATATGATAATCATCCTGACCCATCTGACCGTTGCACTAGTTTTAATGCAACAACAAACATACACTACAAGAAAATCGTTAGTTATAAACGGATTTTCATGCGGCTTTTCAGCAGACTATTTTTTGATAGATTTTCGACGGAGTATGATGAAATTTTTTTCGACTAAATTTATGATAGATTTTTCGGCGACTTTCTGGTGTCTTTTGCGGCGATTTTTAATAATAATATTTTAATAAAAAAAGAATGACAGTTTTGACATATTTGCCCATCCAACAAATTTGTTGAGTCTTTGAAGTTTTTTCTGGCATTCGAGCGAGCGGGCAGGTGATCACAACCAGGCAGCAGACAGTGCGGGAGGTAGCTCGACGACTTCGTTTTTCCAAAATTTTTTAATATTTCCGACGGCTATGACCGCTGGAAATAAATGCCGCTTAAATAAACCGCCGATTTTTTAGTTTCTTACGCGGTTTTTTCCAGCGGAAAAAAATCGGTCAGAAAACTTCATTACCGTTGGAAATTCATCCAGTTCTGTCGATAATGACTGATTTTTATGTAGTGATAACTTATAATATATGCAAAATTTACAAAGCAAACGTACATAATATAAGTGAATTAGAAAACAAATATTGAATTGACAAAAACTATGATATATGTTAACCGTATATGATATTTGCTTAATTATGAGTTAATTGGACGAAGAGCTATAAGTGAGCTAATATACTAGAATATATTGCATAATACTTATTTATTTAAAACTTTTTATATTTATTTATTTTTTATATAGATAATTAAATAAGTTTAATTAAAATTTTTAAAGCTCAAAATATAAATAAAAAATTTGAAACATTAAATAACTTTTTTTTGGGGAAATTTTGCGGCAGAATTTTGTCACAATTTTTCCACTGATAAACCTTAGCAGAAATAGCCATTGAGATCTTATGGCAGATAGCAGCACTGGTACAATGAATCCCACCATACCTTCTATCATTCCTTTCACGCCATATATAATAAAGTAGGCAGCAAGTGACAAAGAAACAAAAATTCTTAAATAAGTAATTGTAACTGTGAATATCATCAAAAAATTCAAATAGCTGCAACATCGTAGGTCTCAATAAAAATCCCCTGGCATCCGACAAAAGCGTTTCCAGAATTTGAAATGAGTATTGGCATTGGAAGAACAAATGAGAGATAGATTCATCCTCCTTATCACAAAGGGGGCAAATAGAATGTATGATAATATTCCTTTTAGCCAACACATCCGCAGTTTTAAGCCCATTGCAAACAGCTAACCAGGTATAAGAGGAATATCTAAGCGCAAGACGTTTATGCCAAATAAATTTATACCAAGGGACTTTAATGAGATCAACAAAGAACACTTTTCTAAAGTTTTTATAATTTGGAGTCCCTTTTCCAGTCCAAGAAACACAAATGTCACAGTCCACAATAGGAGTAGAGGAGATCAGCTAGATTAGCTGAGGAGGAAAGTCATTCTTTAAAACCCAGCAACCGTTTAGAATATATTCTCTAGCCACAGTAT